ATTTGACTTCCGCTTCCCTGAGATCGGGAGCCGATTTTCGCACCAGTCCATGTTCCCTATCTGGCCCGACTCTGATCCTCACGAGCTTCAGGCTGAGCATTGGCGAATTGCTCTCGTCACCACGCCTGTTGTGACCTGCCGCAATGACACCGGTTCAAATATCTCTGCTCACTCAGTTTGTATGGCTGATGTTGTATGCATGCGATAAATGCATCACAGTTGACCTCTCATTGTTGTTGATCTGTGCGATTAACGTGAGGGTAAAAGACCTCTGGGTCTAGAGAGCCACCGAGGTTCTTTCGAGTACGGTGAACACTACCACTGTACCATACTGTCACACTACTGTTGACAATGATTACGCACAGCCAGGATGCTGTGACTATCTAGAAGGGGAAGACACATTCTACCTATCAGCACGACTTAGAGACGGTCATCCATGAAAACCAGGCGATCACGGGCGTTTAGTAACTACTTGATTTTAGGGAGATTTGCTTACTTTTTTTTTATGCGCATTTTTCTGCATGCAAACGGCATTGGGTTCACTTCACTTCACGGTAGGATATAGGCATCCTCATATCGCAACTCATAACCCCTTCTGGAGATAACCGAGATCTATACCCCGAAGACGGTGTTGTTTCTTTGCATTTTCTTTTCCATCGTGGGGAAAATAGGTACAAGGGGGTTTCTGGTGGTTGAAGATGCAATCAATCGTCGGGGGGGCAAAAGCAACTACTACTGGGTTTACGATCAGTCATGGGAATTGTTGCGGTCTCAAAGAAGAAACGAGGCAGATACATTCAAGCAAAAAGATGTAGATGCGATTGATTTTAGGGGTAATAATTGATTTTGACGCATTAAACTAGCGAAACTAACTGTGATCTGGTGTTCTCGTGAGAGTCATTCCAGTCCTGTTGGCCTGTGAGAATCATCTTGTCTAGTCTATAGGAAGCCCCAAACTCCTGGTATCAAGAAAAAGCAGAATACCACCACCATAATAATAATACAATAGAGGAAAGAAATTGCGACCCCGAAAAGAAGGAGCCATTACAAAGTGAATGTTTAATGACGACGGCCCTGAGGAGAGCCATGCGTAGACTTGCGATCCAGGCGTCGCACAACAGCACCAAGAACAACCTTGAGAATCCCATCTGCGGTCAAAGCCTTACTATTGTCCGAAGTAGTGGAATTCCAGGTTGCCGTATCAACCATATCGCGAATGCCCTGGTCAGCAAGGTCATCGTCGAGCTCACGCAGAGCCTTGGTAGCACCAAGCTCGTTGCCAACCTGGAAGAACTGGATGCCAACTTGATGAGGAGGAGCCTCGATCTGATCAAGCTTCCTGGCGTGGTGAACGATGATGCCCTCTGGGTCGTCCGTGGGGCATCCGTCGGTGATTACGATGATGTTGACCGGCTTGGTCGAGTCAAGGTTGGCCGCACGACGGGAGAGATGGGCGACGTAGGGCTTGAGAATGCTGTGAAGACGAGAGCCCGTTGGTGTTGCTCCTCGGGGACGGACGGACTCGAATAGACGTTGGACCTGGTTGGCGTCACGGATCTGGAAATATCCACCGGGTGCCTGAACTCCAGTTCCGGCGGCTGGTGATCGATGGTTCAGGAAGTAGATGTCAATGCCGTCAGGGTCGTGAGAAGTACAGATCGGGGCGATAGTGCTCAGGGCCTCTCGAACCTCCCTCCACGATCGACCAGCCATGGATCCAGAGTCGTCGATGACAAAGATGGTATCGAAAGTAGATAGGAATGCATATTTATCCTCGGCACTGGTGATGCTTGACATGCTAGGAGCCGGTGAAGCTCCACGCTGAGGAACATCGAGGAGAGGAGCGGTCCTTTGGGAGGACTCATAAGCAGGAGGAGCCTCCTCGGGAACATCGAGGAAGGGGTTGTTGTTCTTGGTGTTTGAGTTTGAGTTTGAGTTGCCCATGTTGAGATGAGTGTGATTCTCGTCGGTGGAGGACTTCTTGGTTGAGAACTTATCCTTGATGCGGCTGAACATTTTTGGTGATGAAGGTGAAGCTGCGTGGGGCATGTCGCCGAAGGTGATTTTATAAGTGTTTGGGTTGAAGGTTGAAGGTTTGAGCTGAGGCTGTGAGTCACGCGTGTTCTTTGTCGTGAGATGGAAGCTTGTTCACAAAGTACCTAAGTAAGGTGAGTTCAATGATGTGAATGGCTTTAAATAAACTTGTTGTTCGGTGGTGGTGGTGGTGGTGGTGGTGATTTGGCCTTGTTCGTATTGATTGATAATAGTACCCAGGTAGGTAGGCAATCTGGTGTGCCCATGGCAACTCTTTATATTGGCCATGATGCATGTCGATGTTCAATAACACAAGGCAGAATAAACGTTGTCGCTCAATGCAAATCTAATCATCACCATCCATAGTGTTTGTTCATTTCCATTGCCCCTGCACTGCCTTGAAGGCGGTTTCTCCATCGTCACAGCATTGATTATGTATGTATGTATGTGTGTGGTTCGCCTTCTGGGCCGCCACCAGGGGACAAGGCATTCTCATGTGACCCCTGTACAGCCCCTGGGCGCAGTCTCCACCCCCACTGTATGCACAACACACAATCCACTTACAAGCCGACAGCTGGCCAATCGCAAGTCTTTTTGACGTGGCTCAGCCCTGTCATGGTGGATGTTAAGGTCGTTCCATGCTGCTGGATCTGACAGACTGACAGACTGTCAATGACAGGTTGGACCCTTGCAAAAGCTAACTTGATAGTTTGGCACAGAATGATCAATTCGAAATTATAAGGCATATTATAATGGCAATCAAGTCCTGAGGCATTCTTTACCTCATGCTTGGGAAAGCCTAAACAATCACTGTCAAATATTTCAACTATACTCCCGGCTTATTATGATATAACCTCTTGTTAGTGTATTAAAGAGCCTTGCTTGTGGTGCCTGAGTGACCTGCAATCTCCCCGATCTAGCTTTCAAGAGGCTTCTTACATGCAGTTCAGACCAATCAAAATACGTGTACATATTGTCCCTCTTGCGGGGTTATCCCTGGCGTTGAACATTTGACGAACCCTCCTGCACATGGACGCCTCGTGCTATACTCAGCCTCGCCGGTTCAACCTTGTATGGCAATGCCAGTAGGATTGGCATGGCATTGCATGGCATTGCAAATACAAGTGTATCTTTTGTAAATAATCACCTGCTGTATAGTTTTCAAATATAATTTTGTCTGCTAAACATATTCCCCTTTACAGCAATTGACACATTGCGGATATTTCAATGTTTTGCGCAAATGCGCACTTAAACAACACACTAGATCACAGCAATCATCCATGCGGGCCAACAACTAGCTACCTTGTCTTGTCAGAAAACTGCGATATTCTCTCTTCTTTTCAAGTCCAGGTGTCAATCCAACTTAGATGTACAAATCTTGATGTATATTTCCACAGAGACTCAACTGCTGATTGTGGTTGAGTCAATATCTGCACTAGACTCTGCGCTATCTTTCTATTTCAATCCGTCGAGACTTTTGCTTATCTTCCAATACTATGCCTTTCCCAGTTGATCTCGAATACATTTACAATATAGACCCCAGGCTTTCAGCTTCCCGGGCCCAGTGCAACTCTATGCACCTCTGTGACAGCTAGACGTAGAGATCTCCAGGTAGTCAAATCTTTGAGCAACAAGTATACGAGGTGCCTGAGCTTCTCATGTTATCAAAATGGTGTTCAAGGCTATAGCAATGCGTCTTTTCGTGTTTGAATTCGTTTCTTTTCCCGTCTGAAAGACACTCTACCGAATAAAGCTTCTTGACACGCCAACACAACTTCACATACTACGACAACGCACGCTGGTGAGCCCGGAGCAGCAGTCCGAATGTCCGCTTGTCCACCACGTTGGTGCTAACGCTGGCAGTTATCAAGCATCAATAAGCCGTGAAAGATCTGCCAAAGAGCACAGATCAGTGAAATGAAATTAAAAAGAAGCTACCAAGAGACCTATTTCTCCGGCGTTCAGAAGGCATTCAGTGGCTAACCCCCAACCTTTATGATACCACGGAAACTCTAGTTTTCTGTTCTGATAAAAAGCTCTAGAACTATCAAGTACTGTTCAATCAAGTACTACTCAGGAAGGCTGTGCTGAAGTCCCCAAGTTGGTGGTAGAAATGTAAAAGCTTCCAGAGTGAACGTTGGTGAAGAATTTGAACTGAGATGACGGGACCTGGTTATTGCAAAGTGATAAAGGAATGCATTATCAGCCCATTCCCTCCAGAGTTTAGGCTCTCATGCATGAACTTAGACTAGAGTCATCAAGATAAGGTTGATTGAGACGATTGATGGCCACCCCCCTGGTTAATCCTAGTGATTTCTCGTATAAGTGTCCCTTGACCTTCGGAACCACATGGCCAGTAGTCTTCAAAGAAATGGAACAACTAATGCGTAAGTCTTCTTTTCAAGAATTATGTTGTGAATCTTATTCAGTTCCAGCGAGTGTATCGACATCGTCTACTATTAACAAAGTATAGGCCAAAAGTAAGAACAAAAGGAAGAGGCCACCATGGATAAAAAGAAAAGTGTATAACGAGGTCTAACCGCACCCGCTAGATTCCATGAAAAAAAGGTTTCAAAAAGATTCCCACGATTATCTCCTCCAGCAGTCCATGATATCCCTCCAACTGCTTTCGAGGACGCCGCTTCTTCCAATACTTTTACCCAGTAATAAGTCTCATCCCCTCCGGAGTCAGAGTCTTTAAAAACCACACCTCATACGCCGCGTCATGCAGTAAGGGGAAAACCCACAGTCTTCCCCTCCAATATCCCTACTTGATTGCTCCCTGGCAAGACAGAGCATGTTGAAACAGGCTGAAGACACAACTTGAAACAAGCTGCTTTCTCAGTCACAAAAAAAGGTAGCTAGCAGAATCTGCTAGTTTTCATATAGTTTAGCAAAATGGTCGTCCTATCCCATCGAGCTATCATCGAATTTCAAAGACACCATTAGAAGAAAGCGTGTTGAATTTAAGCTTGCTTGGGCTTGGGACGAGGGAGACCCTGCTCTCGGCGAGTCTTGAGATCGATCTCGGCGAGGCCCAAGCTGGCATTGTAAAGCTGAACGCAGTTGATGAACTGCTTGAGGAACATAAATGGAAAGCTAACACCGGCAATTATCCAAGGTACTGTAGAATCCATCTTGTTCGCACGTGCAAGCTCGAGAGCAGCAGGGCTGAAGGGGTCAGGGAAAATCTGGGCGAGGATCGAAGTGTTGACTTGAGCACCAGCCTGAAGCTCAGCACCGACAGTCTGGATGGGCTTGATGAGGTAGGGCGAGACAAGAGGAGACGAGAAGCACAGGAGGTAGAGAGCGATGAAGAAGAGCTCGTTGAGGGCGCAAAGGGCAAAAAGGACATTCTAGACGCAATCAGTATATGACACAGGTGCCAATGTTTAAAGATGCATACCTTGTTGGTGTAGTAGAGGCGCAATAGCCAGTTCTTGCTCTCGTCAATGCTTTTGTGGCTGGCGTTGGTGCCTGAGACAACAAGGGTAGCATACATATGCATGTAATGGCTGGCAAGGTCAAGAGCAATCAAGCCCTGGAAAACAATGGCCCATCGAGGGAAGGCGGAGGAGAGGAAGACAATAAGACAGGCTGTAGTACAGCGATCTGTGACCATATCAAGAACAGCGCCAAAGCGAGTGGACTGTTCGTAGATACGCGCGGCGTAGCCATCGAGGGCATCGAGGAGACATGAGACGCTGTAGAGAAACGAGCAAGTACGAGGATGGAGGGGCATGTAGTAGAGTGACGCGATAGCAAGGACGATGCGCGCGTAGCCTGAGCAATCGTTAGCAGGCCTTGACTTGATTTGGAGAATGATTTTTCCTTATCATACCAATAATGTTGGGGATGAAAAGGAAGATGTTCTCGCGAGGGGCATCGTCCGAAGCATCCGCGACGCCGTTGGCAGACCCGTTACCGTTGGATCTGACTTCAGGCTCGGAATCAGAGGAAGGGTTTTGGGCCTTTGCGGCCTGTCGTCGGGTTTGTGGGCTCATGGTGTTAATGAGGTTTCGTTTTATTGTATGTTAAAGGTGAAGCTTCGAGTTGTCGTGATTATCAAGGTGGTGTGGCTTATCATGCAGCGGCGGAGTTTGGATCGAGATAACGGACAGAATCTGCGAAAGGGGCAGGGATTACTCGGCGCTGTTGAAGCTATCGAAGAGGCCAAAGAGAATTTATAGGTACTAGGGTTTGTCGCGTTTCGCGAGAGGCTAACAAAAGAGACTCGTGAAAGATGTCAGAAGGAGTGGATGTGAAAGAAGAAAAATAGAATCTAGGAGGAAGCTCCAAAAACTCGAATCGAGTCGAGCGGAGGAAGTCAATGGGTGATGACGAACGGCGGAAGGCAAGGTAAGCTTAGGTTAGAGGCTCCCTTTCCATGAGATGCTCCCGCCAAGCGAACAACAGGGGGTGGTTTTTCGGTAGTCTCGGACATGTTTAGAGCTTGGCCGCGTGTAAATTCAGCGGCGTGGTGTGCTGATTTGCCCGCTTTCCACTGGCGGAGAGCTCCAAATTTGCACCAGTCGCAGATTGATCCCCTGAAATTGATATCCGCTCATGGCAAATTGTCAGCTTAGAAAGAGGGCGCTTACTCCACTTTCAAGGTCAATTTCTTGGATGGATATTTGCCAATGATGAACAACTCATCATCTCACTATCAAGACGTATGATTTGCTCATGAAAGTCTCGAGATCCAATGTTGCCAGTCGTATTGATTGTGAACGCGGCCTCGGCTTGGAGAGACAACATATGTTTTTTCATGTCATGTCATGACTTCAGTTGTCTCATCGAGACATCGAGTTATATCCGGCTAACATGCGTAGTCGAGACGTCCGTCGCACTGGTAATAATGCCAGAACAGATAGAGTGGTGATCACTCTAACATGGATTAAATGCATTAGCGGCAAAATATTCAGATCACGGCCCCTATGATTGCCGCGGTCGTGGTTTGTATAGATAAAATTGAGCTTCAAGAGCCTTCAAGTCCCAGCACAATATATGTATTTAGTGCTTTTTCTTTGGCTCCTTATGATCCCTTGTAATGACAGCTGGTTCTTGATCACCGTGAACCCGGCTATCATAACACCTTAAGCCACAGCAATCGTTATTGAGATCGAGATATATGCGCGGTGAGAGCATTAGACTATTAAGAACTCATTCAGCTGCAGACATTGTCGTACGGACACCGCAACCTTATTCATGAATGCGAGTCAACACATGGCACTATAAGTTGATGAGTAAAACCGTGGCCTTAAACCCGCGAGTCGAATACCTCGCGCTTTGTTCAAACACTCAAACACCCCGCAGACTCAAGACTGCAACTCTACCGGTGGAACTGTCGATTCAGCTGCGTCGACAGCCTCGCTTCAACAGAGTTCGACTGGGGCGGACTATTGTTGTCAGTGGCTGAGCAATCATGATATTATATGAGCGACTAATCCCGAGTATCCCTAGGACCCTGACCTTGGTCACAATTCACACCAATATGCACAATGACACTTCGACGACTCAGTCCAAATCTCCAACTCGTTTCCAAACTCCAAAGCAAACACTTTTATGATATCTCATATCCAGGGTCTCTCTGACTTGAAGCCCCAACGCGCCTCGCTTCGGAACGACTCCCACTTCCCGTCCCGTCTGGATATATTTCTTCGTAGCTTTGGCTAGAACTGTGGTAGTCGCGCGCCAAGCAGTATTGAATTGCTTGACTCTGTGAGCCATGCAATCAGTCTGATTGTGGCGGTCGACTAGACTCATTAGTTTGCGGGACTTTCAACTGCACGTTTACAAAGGCGGCAGTCGGCAACTGAAGTGTCCCGAGTTGTCAATTGTCGCTTCTCACTGGTATAAAAAACGACGAATATCAGTCGGTTGGTGGCTTTACGAGCTGCAGACACGCCAGAGGTCTGAAAATTCTAAATAGACTCAAGGGAGCTAGCGACAGGCGTAGCTTAGCAGAAAGCGGTAATCGTGTCAAGAGCAATTTCCAGAACAGTCCTCCATCTGTTGCATTAGGTTTTCCCGACTGTGATAGATATTCGGGAGTTCCGGAGAGTGGAGGGACTCACGGCATAGCCGAGACACCAGGCAGTATGTACCGTACAGTAGTGCGGCACGCAGATGGGACCCTTGTTTTGCTTGAGGAGCTTGTTGAGTGCTTGCGTTGAGGTATGTTTGTATGCTGTAAGGTTAACTTTGCCAGGGTTCAAGTGTAGGAGTTTTGGTTGTCACTTGCGGGCGGGAGGCTAAGAAAGGCAAAGTCTGGGGACGGCGGATCCTGACCCTGCCGACGATCTTGGGACGGTCATGATGAAGAGCCCGAGCTTGAGACTTGATAGTCTGGGGGAGGCAATTTGTCGTGGCTAGCTGGGCTGCCAAGGTGAGCAGGGGAGAGGTTAACTTAGACAGAGCTCTTAGCTTGGAATAAGCCCTCCATCAGAGTTGATAATTAGTCGTTGGTGATAAAACGGCGGTGCCTTGCAGCAGCGAAAACCAAAAACCCCATGTCAAGTGAAGCCGCTACTGCAGCTAGCTCACCTCACTGCCGGTTGCTCCGTTCCGTCGTTGCGTCTCATCACAAGTGACAGATACTTTAGCAGCGAGTCTCGGTGCGTACCGCAATCTTATCCACCGGCAAGCTATTGCCAGGGTTTGTATTTGTGCCAGTCGGATTCAATCCAGGTACTCAGTTGAGGTACGCCAGGTACCACGCCCAAGGATATGGGCTCTCTGTATCGTCCCGTTTCCCCGTCTCGTCGTTTCGGTAGGCCGTCTTAGCTTCGTGAGCTACTAACAACATGTACCAGACAGGCAGGCAACGCGCATCTGGAGACGGTCAGGTTGATGCAAAGACATGTACCTGGGGTTCTGTGGATCTTGACGCTGTACTCCGTGAGTTAGGTTAGTTGTCATGTCACCCTTAATCCCTCGCTGGCTCCGGCTTGAAGGACCGCTGAAACGGGTGTTTGCGGCAATAGTGTAGATGCCGTGTAACCCAACCAGGTCACTTGGAGTTTTTGGAAACTCAGAGTGATGACCGTATTCTAACCGCCTCATACCTGGGAGATGATCCCTATGTGGAGCTTGGTGATGTTCTGTGTTGGTACATCACCTGCAGTCAGGTCAGTATCGTAAAAACCATCAACTTTTTGATACATAGCCACTCCCACGGTTAAAAGCATCAATCCATCATGGCAAAGCCTCCCGCCTCTTGGGCTGTCTTGAACAGATCATTAAGCCAGGATTGGTTGTGATCATCTCGCCCTATTTCTCTAGTTTCTGATCCCTGATCCGCAAAGTGCAGCGAAGGCCAAACCCTATCCGGGTAGCCAACGTTGGACCTGGTCTCGACAACAGGTGTATGCTTGTTCGATTCCTCTAAAATCAGATGATTTTTGGGGTTTCGTGTCTTTGTTCATCCACCAAGCTTGTCTTGAAATGACTTCTCGACTTGTCCGACTTAGTGCCCCCCCACGATACACGTCACTGACGGTATGGATCTAGGTATGGGGGCATGGGTCCTAGGGCTAGGAAGAATTTGTTTCCATATGGTCAGGATGAGGAGAGGACGTGTTTTTTTTTTCTTCTTCCCCCAGTTGAGCATTGTTTCACTAAGCAATGGCGAATAGAGAGAGGACTTGTAGACAAGGTGTAGACATGTAGTTATACATATCGGATTACTTCCGACCAATTCCCCAAAGAAGGATTTATTTGCTTGCCGTTTCAATTGGCTGGTTCTTCCTTACAGAGTCTTCCACTGCGAAGATGGATGGATGGGTGTCAGTCCTTGGCCTTGTCCGCTCCGGCTAAAAGAGAACTACCAGGATAAGTTTGAGTTTCAAGCTTTGGATCGTCCATCAGTGCTATTCTAGCCATTTTCTTTGAATTGCTGTCAAACATCCTTGCCCCTGTTCCTGTCTGAGTACATACAGTAGTGCCTCTACCTAGTGCATACATGTTGCATTTGCCGCCTGTTACAGTAAAAAAGAGACACTCTTGTTGATCCCTGTTTGACGCCACGCCTGTACAGTACCTACCTTCAACCTCCGAATGCCTACCTTGGTACTTACTTTCTGGCTGCGTTTGAGCCTCGGGCCTTAAAAAGGTGTTAGCTTGTTATGAGTCTCGAGGTTCAGGCGCCTTTTCGCTTCACGTTGGAGCTAAGCTAAGGTACCCTAGCACTAGCACCTAACTTACCTTAGGTGGTAGTGATCCTCTCGCCTCACCTTCAGTGCCTTTTAGTTGGTTGGTTCCATAGGTCACTTTTGTTTAAGTCGAGCTGTGGATCGTCACTTTTCACTTTTTACCTTTCACCTCTCACCTACAGTCTCTTCTTAACTACCCCCATCCCATCCCATCCCGTGTCATTCTGCGAAAGGTCTTTTACTTCAAACCTCCTCCTCCTTCCTCTTGACTCGCTCTCTTTCCTCTCCTCTTCCCTCTCCTCTCTCCTCTCCTCTTCTCTCGTCATAATTCTCCTCCCACTCCCGATCGACATTCCACCCATTTACGCCTCACATTGGACGACACTTTCAGTCGAGACCCATTCGGCCGAAGCTAATAAGATCTTCACCCCTCGTTCCTATCTGTGGCTCTTGTGTCCGTTTTTTTCAATTCCCCCCAGCTTCCCCTCTATCAAGCGAAACCGCCACCTGCGCCAGGTTGACTAGATCGTTGTGAACTTCTTTGTGAATTGGCCTAGTCTCGAGGTTGCCCAAAACTTGCGACTTAGATCCACATACGATTTAGTTAGTGTACTTGAACTCGCTCCCCAGTTCGGGTCACCGTCTTTTCCGATACCTTTGTTCATATCAAATTGATCTTCGAACAAGCTTTACCGTATCATGTCGCCGCATCCTACCCTCAAGGCGACTTTCGCCAGTCGAGCTGAGACAGCTACCCATCCTCTCAGTCGACATCTCTACAAGCTCATGGACCTCAAGGCCTCGAATCTTTGCCTCAGCGCCGATGTCGCAACCGCTCGCGAACTGCTCTA